CAATCCGACGTCAACACGTCACATCTCCATATAGCACACGGTCTTGGTCTCCTCCCAGGCCGAGCCAAGCAGCAAGCTGCACATCAGCACATGTACAGCACCGTACATGCAACACACACACATGCATGCAACGGCATGCATATGCACCACGCTACAGTACCATGGGTACTGTAGCAACCAAATACTCCTCCAAATATTATCACTCAATTTCCTTCGCGAACACCGACGCTTGCACGCACACCTCGTGAAGCCCGTTGCGAAGATCTCTCCCACACGGTGTCCATCCACCGTATGCCATCTCGTATCCAACTTCGTCACCCGGTATCCTTGACCGTCTGGATCTCAACTTCTTCCTGAGTCTAGTCCCGATCCCCACTGTTGATCGAAGTTGACCTCTAAGAATCCTGACTCTAGTCACCTTCTCACATGGTATTCCGACAGCACTAGACCTCTGCTTCTCCCTGAGTATAGTCCCGGTCCTCACCATTAACCAAGGCTGACCTCAAGTCACCTGCACACAATCAGACAAAACAACCGTTTCTGGGCACAGATATCATAACCTGACCCACATTAGTCACACGCACTCACACCAACATCCACACATAATTTCCAAACCACTTCATTGATTAAATCATTTTGCAAAGCCAATTGTTCATCACAAATATTAATCATGACAATGATTTCACACCTTCTTCTTTCTTCCCCATCTCTCTCCACCTCATTTTTAAATGTGGTTGCCACGAGGAGGCCGGCGCCAGTGAGGGAGGCGAATGGGGAGGCAACAGCCAGCGCGGTGGTAAAGCACCGCCCCCTTGGCCCGAGAAGGAATGAGGGAGCTCCTCGCATAGCCGCTGCAGTGCATCCATGACCGCCATTCTCCTCCATGGAAACCCTAGCTCCCTCTCTCTCGAGGCCACATGCTGTCGTCGAAGTAAAGAATAAGAAAAGAAAGAGAAGATCAAGCAGCAAAGAACCCTCCTTTCTCCTCCTCCCCTAGGTGCCACGACAGCTTGCATGCCCGGCCTACTTCGTATGGTGCCCACCGCTCTTTGCCGCCACACAAGCAGCAAACATCAGAGGGCCCACCCCCACTCCCCCCCTCCCCCCCCCCCCCACTATTGCTTAGTACTCCACTTGATTTTAGGTTATATTGTGGATATCTTATAATGGAGCGTTTTGTTATTGGGTGATACTTGTGTTCCATTTTGGGTTTAATAAAAGAGATTTGCTCTGGTCCAACAAAAAGTACCTCGAGATACTGGTACCTCACGGTATCAAATCGTTTCCGATCATTGGATCTAGCTTGGTACTGTGAGTTACCGGTACCTAGAGGTACTTTTTGTTGGACCGAAGCAAATCTCTTAATAAAATCAGTATTAATTTATCAATAATAATATGTCTAATTATAAATATAGCATTTCAACGACTCCAAGTTTGACGATCTGTATCTCTCCTAATTCAAAATCAAGTTTAAGTGATGGGATTATTATATTGGAATGTGCATTAAAACCTAGTTCAAATAAGTGGTAACTTAATTTTGGGGCCAGTATCAAAATGGGCGGTGCGCATCGACCAGATCGAAACACTAGCAAAAGTGAGATGCCGTCTCCATGTTCATCCCTCCAACCAAAACACCAAACTGACCCTGAATCTGAATTCTCATGAGTCACAAGAAAGAACGAGAAAGCAAAGCATGGATGCAGACAAGTAAAACAAGTGTACATAGCAGCTAGCAAATGCCCAAAACTAACAAGGGCCTGCAGATCCCATGCTTCTTCTTCTAGCTAGCTTTAGTGATCGCTTGTCGTATATAAGAGCATTGATAGAGTAGTAGTAGGAGTAGTATGGTGCACACAGTACATGGCATGGCATGGCATGGCAAAGCAAAGCAGAAAGCCGGCCATGCCGGCCAGCTAACAGTTTCTTTGACTGGGTTTAGCTCTACTCCAGTTTAGTAACCTTTGTCAGATCTTTCTAGTCACTTCCAAAAGTGTTAGGAGGTTACAGCTAGCATCAAGCTAGAGCATCTGATGACATAATTAAAGCATGCAGTCTGATCAAGTGCTACTACTACTACACTTTGCTATAGGTAGGAGAGTCCCTGAACTCTGAAGAAAGCAGCCATGGAACCTACTCCAATGTTCAGGTGCTTGACACTACTGTAACACATTCAGAGAAGCAGCCATAGCCTGTCTCTTCTTCTGTCTGCTTGAGTATAGTAATAGTACATAGAGTACATATTATTGGTCTCTCATTCTCATCATATCCATGCATCTCTTAACTTCTTTCAGGCTAAAGCTAAACTTATCCGGTTATATATGCATATATTCTTCATTCTTGGCTGGTCCGTCATCAACTTTTGATCGACAGGCAAGTAGAAGAAGCATCATGCAGTGATGCACTTCATGTAGACTTCCAGGCTTTTTCCTTGTGATGACTGACTGCCGGTTAGTTGAAAAGATCACAACAGGTAGTAGTAGAAGGGAATCTCTGGATCAGTACTAACTAAAGAAGTCGAGATAATGAGATCAAGTTGCCAAATTGGCTGCAGATGAGTAGTAGTACAATATATCACTGTAGGGGTGGTGATTGATCATCATTATCTGCAAGCTGCAGCTGGAAGATTTCTCTGCTAGCTCTTCCATTTTCTTTCTGCGAGAGAGACTGCTCTGAAAAGAGCATTACTCTCGGATGCAACTGGTTGTTGGGCTAGCTTTGGGCCGCTCGACATTAGGCCCATTCTGGTTGGGAGGCCCAGGCCCAACTAATTCTCCAACATGAACAGTCGAACTAACCACACAAATTGAGTTTAAATTTTCAGGCTGCTGCACGCCGGCCGTGTCAGGCACATCGGCGGCGGCGGTACGGTCGCCGGAGACGAGGGAGGCTGGCTGGAGAGCTGCTGCTGAAGCCACCGCCGCCGCCGCGCTGTATTGCCGCTGACGATGAGACGCCCGTCGCGCTGCTACCCAATCTGCACAAGTACTCATGCAGAATGGATTAAAGACAAGCTAAAAAGTTCAGAGCCAGCAAGCTTGCCGCAATACACAACTCCGTAAGTAAAAAAAAAAAAAGAACGACTCCTAGCTATGAATTCGGCTCATTCAGATTCATAGCTCAATGTTGGTTATTATTTTTTTTTAACGGAGGGAGTATGTAGTTACATCTGAAATGTTAATTAGGCATTTAGGCAGATTATATAGGTTGAATGCATAAGCATTGCAAAAGTACTAGTACACGTGTAAAGAAAATTGTCTTATTAATTCCTCCGTCTCTGAGTGGGTTCATTTTTCATCCCTCCCATTGATCCCAAAATAAATTTATTTTTCAGCTAATATTACACACTAGAATATATAAAAGTAATGGCTCCGGCAGTGGGCTCAGTTACAAAAGAAGTGTGATGAAGATGGAGAGTTTTTGATTGTTGCATGTCGTAAGCTTGAGATGACGGTTATGTAACTTTTTGCCAACCACGGATGGAGATTCAATAATAGATTGGAATAATGTTCTCCTTGTCCTGTTTGGTTTTCCTTTAATTTGGTTTGGTGTGATTCGCTTTATTTTGAACTATACTCTTCTAAAGTGCTAGATTGTAATAATGGCTGTAGCCGGGATGTTACTCATTCCATTATTTAAAAAAATGGATAAATGCATCAGGAGTAGATAAAATAGAGAATAATTGTATTGTGGTTTAAGAAATGAAGTTTTTTTTAAGTTTTTTCAATTGATACGTGTGAGATGGATAAAAAAATTAACCTATATTAGAAAGGCGGAAATACTCATAAGGGAGCATAGACTGAACGAACGATGATGGAGACGCTGCATCGGACAGCCAGCCAGATTGTTGTACGTACGTGTTTGTTCCAGCCGAGGTTTCGCCATGTGATCGGCGCAGTAGTCCGGCCTAGGTGGTCGGGCTAATTGCCTCGAGATTCGCGCTCGCTCGAGCTTGGGGGCACGGCTATAGATTCCACTTGTCGCCGGTTCGTCACAAAAATCAGACAAATAATCACGAAATTAGCGATCGCTGGTGTATTTCATTGTTGGGCATGTTCAATTCCTTCCCTGGTGTGGAAAATTCTCCGTATATATATAGCCCGACCTTCTAGCAGCAAGCTGGCAATAATGCTAGCCATCGCTGTATGGACATGTTTTTACTTAGTTATTTGCGAATTAGAAATAAATAAACTATAATATAGTTACATTTCAATTACTATAATACAACTACATTTGAAAGTTTTATTTAAGAGAATTTTTAAATGTAATTTTGTATTGATACTCTTAGTTTAAATCGGACCGATTTTTCCATAATTAAAATCACACAAGTATATAGTAACTCCTCATTCTCAATGGAATTAGTGCATGTACAATAGTGTCTAATAACGGACTCTCTTTATTGTCATGCAAGTAAATTTAATAACGTGGAAGAAAGAGAGGGAATAAGGATAAACATTGTTGCTACGCATGACAACGGCTCAGAGTCAACTCTTAGTATTTATTAACGGAAAATTTGTTGCATGAGGATAGAGAAAAGGAAATAAGTATAATAAAAAAATTATTTAGTGCATTAATTGTTTAGAAATCTTATTGTCTCTACTATTGTAGGAGAATAGTCTCTAGTGATATTAATTAATATAGAGAGCTCATATTAGACTCTACCTTTATACATGCCCTTAGTTGAATTTTCGCTACCTTTGAAACGGGGACATTATCTGGCATGTTATAACAATATTATCATGGTTAATTTCGTGTTCTAGCAACCGATCTTCGAAACGACATATTTTTTTCCCCTTTTGTAACTGCATGCGAAAATGTAATTCAATTTTTGCAGACACGACTAATTATGATCCGTCTGTAGTTTATAGGGTCCTCGTACATAAAGATGGTTTTCGTAGTAGAGACTGTTCACACGCTGACGCATGCTGCCGTTCAACTCTTCATCGTACATGGAACATAAAGTGACGGCCTGTCAGTCGTCGCAACTGCATTTCACTCCATGATTCCAGCTAGCCCCTCGCAAATGAGAAGAGGGGGGATTTTATTCGAAATGATTCATGAAATTTTGAGCTAGGATATGAATATGATCCCATCAAGCTAGCTGATCGAGAAAATGGTCTTTCGATCGATCGCAATTCGCAAGATAAATTCATTGATTACACACGCATCAATTCAATTTGACATAATCTGTTTCTGGTACACATGCATGTGGCATCTGGTCGTCGTGAGGTTGCAAATACGTCGCCGCCGTTTATTTTGCCGGCGGCGGCGGCGGCAGCAGGGTAGGCGCAGGGCCTATCGGCGGCGAGGACACCGGCGCCGGCGGTGGCGGCGTCACCTGGTTCTGCGTGCTGAGTAGCCTCCGGCCAGCACCGTGCTGCGGCGGCGGCGGCGGCGCATCGCCGACGGCGAGGTGATCTATGTACGTATACATATATGCATGAACAGATCAGCATATGTATGTATATTCAGAGATTTTCAGAATGTCAAGAACAATGTTGTAAACAACAATATGTGCATTTACCTGATAATGCGCTAGCATCCAAGGAATATTGTGGGCGTGAGACAACGACAAGCAGCAGAGTGATTAGCAGCAGCAGCAGAGACGATGACCTTGGAGCAAATGAGCCACACATTGTTGCCACTGAAAAAAAAATGGAAAATTGATCAAGGAGCTACTTGTTAGTACTCTACTTGATTGTGTAGGCTTAATTAGATGAAGAAAATGTGTAGGCCTGGCGATCAAGGGAGGTAGCCAAAGGGAGGGTATTTATACAAGTGAAGGAACTGGATTCCTGGAAGCCTGGAGGCCAGCAGCCCAGCACCAAGAAAGTACTAGGAAACTATACCTAGGTATTATTGTCTTCTCTATAAACTAGCTAAATGCCTGTATTTTGTTACAGATAAAAAAAATTATAGTAATATCTAAAATAAATAAAAGTTTATTTCTCATGAAACGTGTTATATATCTTTTTGCTATAGGAAATATGTGGCTGCCATTTAATTATTGATTGTTTTTATATGAATAAGAAATTCAAAGGCTAATTTGTAAAATTTACAATGGAACTAGAAAAGGGTGGCAGATTTACTATCACAATCATTACCTTTCTTTTGATTGACGATCTGCTAACCTATAGCTAGCTGACACATTTCACAGTTTAACTAGTAGTTATCAGAAGTCTTGGGTATTAGTGCACCAATTATAATAGAGTTAGATCTCACAAGTGTCAGCTGACTATCTGTATCTTGCAATATTATTCCAAGCTTACTATAAACGTTGACCACAGAAGTCTCATTCTGAACTTCTATAAACAATATTATCATCTTGAAAGAATTCTCAATAAGTTGTTATAGTAGCTTGTAGTTACTGCAGCAGTATATGATACTCCGTTTTAAAATATAGTAATGTAGATCTAGATGAGACACATCATAAAACTATGAATGAAGGTATACTCTCTCTGTGTCATAATATAAATTATTATTTTCTTTTGGGTAAAATTAAGGATAGTAAGAAAAGATTAGAATACCGATATTAAATGAGATTTGGTTCTAACTAGTGAGTCGATAATTGGGGTTTAAAATAGGTAGAAAATTGAATTAAAGTTGATGGAGGTGACAAGTACATCGAAATTCCTTATGATTAATATTATGAGATGGATTTCACCTTGGTTTCCTTGGTTAATTAGTTTGTTTAGCAGAATACTCCCCCATCCTTTAAAAAAAAGAACAAATTTATGTAGTCAGGTAAATCGTTTTCTATCTGTCGTCGTCGTCGCTTGTCGCAGGTAGAGTGATCCCATGCATTTGACAGCACTGTTACCGACGTTAAATTTCCTCGAGATCTGCACCCTGAGCCGCTAGAAATTTCGAATGCAGTGCAGGGAGATCCACTCCAAGATCTGTGCAATTTGACTGGGATTCGATTTGTCGCCACCCAGCTCAACCAGCTGCACCTGCACGAATCTTGATATCCAACTCACCACCTCAGTGCAAACTTCGAAATGGGCCGGAAGCATTCTCCCGTCAGATTCGGCCCAAGAGCGCTAGAGATAGAAGGCCCAGACTAGCATTCGGCCCTAATAGAAGTGGAGCCCAACTACAGATAAAAGCTAGCTGTGCTGTCGGCCCAAATACAAGTGTATAGAGGGTTGGCTAATTTAGCACGTGAACTTTCTAGTTTAAGAAAAGAAGCTTCTAGATGATAGTTTTAAAAAGGGTATCAAGTAGTACTAATTCAAGAAATTAGGTGTCCGGTTGGTATTTGAGTATATATACAAAATGTAAATAGATTCATGAATATAAATTAGTATTAGTAGTAGCCAACCACTCGACATGCTTGCTTAATTAGTTTATCTTTTGTACTCCATGGATTACTCGAATTATTAGTATCTTCCCCGGTATCTCCATCAAACTGGTTGCGCAGGAAATTAAATTTTAGTTATTGCCTTTCTCAGTAGCAATACCAATTTGTTAATCAAATTGTTAATGACTTAATTAGCACGTAGCATATCATATACTGATATACACTTTTATTGCATAATTAGTTCGTCTAAATCGTGTTATTAAATTCTTAAAGTGGTACATATAGGATCAGTTTCTTGGGCGATATGTTGTGAGATGTCGCCATCTCGACACTCCCGAGGGCTTTTTTTTTTTGTCAATCATCTCTTCAAATTTGGTTGAATTAATTGTGTCCAAACAGCTTAACATTCAAAACTTCTCTTTGGAATTTGAATTTCTCTCGGAGTGATTTAGCCTGAAATAGGGAGCTCCCTAGATTTTCAAGAGAGAGACGAGAAATGAATAAGTAGAGATCGATCGATCATCAACAATTTTATTCAGATTAATTTTGCACATTTGATTTGACAAACACAACTAAACAAGAGCTTGTGTGCTAATTATTGTCAGCCCCAAACCAATGAAATGGATCATTACACGATCAAATTAAAGCAAGCAAACTAATTACAAATTAGCTGAACACGTGGCCGCCGCCGCCGCCGCCCAAGAAGCTGAATCCGTCGCCGTGGCCGCCGGCGTCGAGGTAGTACTCCCCAAGCAGCACGGCCAAGAAGCCATCGTCGTCGCCGCTGCCGACGTGTCCCCGCGCCGCCTCCGCCACCGCATCACGGTGACCACCACTGTTGTCCACGAGAACACCGCCGCCGACGGCGCCGCCCGTCGTCGTCATCGCTGCGGGTGCTTCGACGGCGGCGGCGGCGGCAATGTGGGCGGCAGGAGCAGGAGTCGTCCGGTCGTCGTGAGAGAAGGTGTTGAACGATGCAGGCGGCGGCGGTCGACTCCGGTCAGCCTCGCCGCGGCGGTGTCCGGTCGCCGCCGCCCCCGCCGCCGTCGTCGCCGACGACGACGACTCCGTCTGCCGGAGCTTCTTGCGCAGCCGCGCGTTCCAGAAGTTCTTGATCTCGTTGTCCGACCTCCCCGGCAGCCTCGCCGCGATCTGTGACCAGCTGCACAACACGGCAACACGCACGGACGATGAACACGAACTCCATTGATCAAATCAATCGTTTCATGATTAATCCAGCAAACAATTAATCGAGCAATAATCTAGCTACCTGTTGCCGAGCTTGTCATGGAGAGCCAAGATGAGCTCCTCCTCGTGGTGGGAGAAGCGGCCGCGCTTGAGGTCGGGGCGGAGGTAGTTCATCCACCGGAGGCGGCAGCTCTTGCCGCAGCGCTGCAGCCCGGCGAGGTCGGGCACCGAGCTCCAGCAGCTGACGCCGAACCGCGCGATGTGCGTCGCCAGCCGCTCGTCCTCCTCCGGCGACCATAGCCCTTTCCTCAGCTTCTTCTTCTTCTCCGAGCAGCATCCACCCTGCTGCTGCTCCACTGCTCTCCCCATGATCATCTCAGCTCAGCTCAGCTCAAATGCTACTGAATCTGATTAAGCTTGCAATTAACTTCTACTGAATCTTCTTCGCATGCGATCGCAATAGCTCAGTATCAGTATCAGTAGTAGCTCACATCACATGCTGCTGGCTGCTGCTACAGCTGCTGCTGGATATATGGAGTGCCAACAATTAAGTTTAATTCGATCGCCATTGATTGATAGCTGTCTCGAGAGGATCTCTGATTGTGCCATATAGTTAATGGTGTAATTGGGAGGTTTAAAACTGGCATTATTGGCTGTAAAGGTGCCCAATGAATCATGATTAGTAAGTGTGAATGTGTGATTGCTGCTGTCACAGCAGAAGCTTTTTTGGCCTCAACAACCACTAGCTCTGTCTCTAGCTGCGTCCATTCTAATCATCGGAGATGACGAGCTCATCTTTATTCATGGATGCATGCAATGCGAGAAACAGATTCATTGGTGTGAGTTCTTGTCTAAATATCTTCGTTTTTTTTTTCGATTTGCAAGCCAATGTGTTTGCTGGGACGGTGATCCAATTGACCATATGTTTGAATTACATGTAGTATATATATGCATGCATATGTATTATATTTGCTTGATCTCGATCGTTCGATGCATGGCCAGGTAAACTATCAAGTCTAACGAATAGTTTTTATCCTGGACCATCAATCATACTTGGTTTAATTATTGGGGTTACCTTTTTTGCGAATGACTTTTCGCATTACTTGTTCCTTGTTAGCTAGCTACCACCTATGTTCTCAACAGGATGACGTTTAGGATATGGAATAATTAACTATTTGCCACTCTTATGAGTGGTTCTAAACGATTTGTCACTGAACCCACATGTCATAGACACATAATGCAAATAATTAAATGTCCCCTGGTTATATATTGACACGGCGACCAATGCGCGTGTTTATCTTTAATTTAATTTCTCAAACCATATATTCATAAAAATGATTAATAATATTCTATGAAAGAGTTTTTCATGGTAAATCTACTGATATGATTTTTTTTCACATTTCAAATCATGGTAGTTTTGCATCTATTAATAATTCAAGATTTTGAGGTTCAACTGCATGCATCCTATTTAAAGCCACTTATTGTTTTTAGATTATTCATCTATTGCTGCGGATTATTTACTCCACAATTTAAAAAATGTATTTTCTCCAAAATGAAAAGCTTTCGTCTACCGCATTATTTGGACCTTTATAATTTATATATAATATTTAATTTATCTCTATAATCAGAATTCATGAGTTTTCATCCATCGATAATCTAAAAGGAACACTATCTAGACGTCATCCTTTTGAGAATGGAGATAGTAGAAAGCTATAACAATTTATTACAAGAAATCTACTTTCCATCTCTCAATTCTGGTGCAGTTTAATTTCCGTATATCCATTTCAACACTCAATAAAACTCATTCATCAACTCTCAAAATTGGATAGGACAGGTCCTTCCACCAATATATTTGACCATGCAAGGCATCCACATGGTGTACAAGTACTGGGATTCAAGGTGGTGGTGGGTGTCATAGATGTTGCTCAGTGAAGCGCTGGAGCATACACTTATTTTCTCTATCTGATAGGTGAAGTTTCGCCCCTATCTTCGTTCTTTTTTGCTACCACAACCAAATTAATGTGGAATTCAGATTAAATCTCGCCAGTTTTAAGAGTTGAAGGATAACTGGATATATATATTCAAAATTTAAAGGAGACTAAGAAATATAGCTAGCTAGTCAGTCTTGCAATCCGCCAGGCTATGTGCATGCATATATATGCATTCTGAAGTATGAAATACAGGAAAATCTTGTCCATTGTGCAAACACATTGGCGTCACCGAGATCTTGAATTTTCAGAGTACGTACTACAAATAATGTGCTGGAATATATTATACATCCATATGTTAACCTAGGGCTCTTCTAATGTAGGGCCGTTATTACCTAACCCCAGCCAATATATATATATCGTACGTAAGATCTTTAAAATTGCGTACATAAACATATGCCTGTAGATTGATGTGAACCAGCAGCCGACACTCTTGACTCCTGATGCTATCATCCACTTGTATTCCGGCCGGGACACCAACCTGTAGTGAATAACTTAATTTCAATCAGCTCCATATATATATTGTCCGTTACTTCATATATATATATATATATGTACATGTTTATATCAATCCACATTCCACCATTGTTCTCTAAGTATAGTGCATTATGTTTGTCTCTATATAAATGAAGAACGTTTTATTAATGTCTATATTCATTGCAGCATATGTTTTTGTTGAGGTTTGTTGTGTGTGTCTACAGAGAGTATAATCATTTTGTAGTGGCATTAAATTGCGATACCGAAGTACGTACTAGGACAAAACCTTGGTGAAAAAAGAAAGAGAGAAAAATTATGTACACTTGTTATATAGTAGTATATCCACAAACTTAAAAACTATTGAGAGAATCATTCTTTCCTTCAATATGTTAATCATATCTCAACCTCATACAATGACTTGTTTGTATGTGTCTTGTAATAGTTATATGCTGTTTCAGGGACATTACTGCCACCGGGGGTGCCGGACTGGATCCATATACTAGCTAGCTCCTGACCGTCGGCAAGAGTTTGGTGATCAGATCCTTGCCGGAGAGGCTATTAATTCTTTGTGACGATGTCTTCATACCAACATGTAGTCAAGAGCTTCCATACTATGTAGTCTAGCTAGAGTTATCTTGGCTTTGAATCACATATTTGCTTACATTGACATGCATCTCATCCTCTCTTCAGATGTACCCTAGATATGGATTTTGGGATTGTACTTATCATGGGGTAGCATCTCTAAAGAAGGTTGCAGGTTCGCCGCCGTTTGCAGTTAGCTAGGCTAAGACTAGATAGGATGTGTATGGTGGTATCGGCTCGGAACTAGGGGCCGGTTATGGTAGCACCGGGGGACTTCGACTAGGTCGTGCTCATTGAGTACTGGTTCCTCAACTCCGGGGTTCTCTGACCTTAGCTAGTGTACCTGGCGATGGCGGTAATTAGTTTCTTATTAAAGGAATTGTCTAGAGTTCGAAAATTTTGATTTGAAGGATGAAAACCTATGGTCTGGCTTTTGCTAGTTAGTCATGGCAACGACCATATGTGCATGTGTCACTTCCTTTTTGGAGACATTGCTTTTGGAATGACTTTTTCGCGGTCCAAATGTTGCTATGTGGTGGAGCATGAAAATGAAGATAATATGTGGTTGTAGCTTGCTGAGGCATGAATTTGTTGTCATGTCATTTTTCTTTTTCCTGTTTTTCTTTGAAATGGTTATATTTTTGTATATCCCGGTTATTTAGAGATAGGATGTGGTCTTAGATTTAGTGCATCATCTTGAAATGATTATCTGAGATCAATAAAAGTTTCCATTATCTAAAATTTATCTCATTACTTAATGGGAAAATTAATCACCAAAATAGTGCCTCTAGCTAGGGAGGTTAAAACTTTTCGAGCCCATGCTTCTATATATATACACAAGGCAAACTAATGAGTGCTCTCTAAAATTTAAATTGTCTTAAGCCCATCCCTAAAATGCCAAAGCTTAAAAGTATTTTAGACAATTTTTAAAACGGAATTACTAACCTTCTATCGATAGAAAATCCATCTTCAAATCTTACAGATTTTGGACCACTGAATGAGCTTTGTGATTCATGCTCCAGGCCTTCTCCTCCAACTCCGGCGACCTCCTCTTCTTCTCCGGCATTGGCGACACCCTAGACTCTAACAGAGGACCCTACGGGTTAGGGTCCTAGGTTGGAGAGGGGGTGGGAGGGGGAGGAAGAAGAAGAGGGAGTTCGCCAGCCTTAGAGGGATGGCCGTGGGAGGAGGCAGCCCAGCGGTGGGCAGCGTGGCGGTGGCGGTGTCGCCAAAGCCACGAGGTCGGAAGCTAGTGATGGACCGGTGTAGGGAGGGGGGGCAAAGTGGAAGGGTTCTTAGAAGGAGGCGGCCGGTGGTGGCACCTCGCTACCGGAGACGGGGAAGACGGCGGCACAGGGATAGCTCATCGCCATTGGCTTGAGGAAAGAAGGGAAGAGGGAGGGGAAAGGGGAAGGGGAGGGGGCTGGCCAGGGAGGCCTCGCTGGCACCGTGGACTCCTTTCGGCTAGCCAGCGAGGCAGGTGGTGTCACAGCGGGGCCGTGGCGGCGGAATGCACGAGGTGACGAGGGCGAGGGAAACAGGAGGAGGAGAGGAGTTAGGGTTATGGGATCCGCACGAATCTTAAAGTATATCCAATGGTCTAAAATTTAAAAGACATGAGGTGAGATTTTCCATTAACATACAGTCCTCTTTTAAAATGTTTTGAAGTGTCCTCTGGACTATGGATCCCTTAAATATAAATGGAAATTGACTGTAGAAATGGCATTCTTTTTAAAGGCAAACTAGAAAAATATTTCTACATGAGTTTCTTTTTCCTGTGAAACTTAAGGTGACGAACTGACGAAGAAGTACTTAAGCCGTAATAGTCAGTTATTAGAACTGATTAGCACTCTCAAATATCAGTACTACTAATCATGCAAGGGCTAGTGAGGTGGATCAGCTTAAATGATTCTTTTCCTCGATGATCAACAAAACAATGTCCTGAAACCAGCTATATATATCCAATGGCTAATCAGATCAAGTTAATCCAGGTTTGCCTTCTACTCTACCACATGGATCATTAGATTCCAATTAATTATCTTACTCCAAAATCACCAATTTGTGCCCTTAATTAGCTAGCCCCAATAATCATCGGACGTCCCCCCTAAAAAGTGTTCTTGATGGGACATATAAAAATACAGATCGATCAATATCATTGCACGCCGCATGCAGGAATCTTTTGGCGCATCTCTCTTGCTATGTGCAATGAATTAATCTTTAATTAGGACAATTCATCCAGAATTAGTCGTCAATTATCAAGATGGGGTCATGGCAGTGATGAACACAGATTAGCCGATTAATTTAAACAAACAACTCACCAAAACTAAACTTTTGTGATGTCTGTACTACGCGCAACAGTGGCATGCAGCAGCATGAGACAAATGCCACGCACGTCAGCCATTCGCTGTCTTAGCTTAATAATTAATTAACTTTTTGGCCATGTTGGGTATATCATTAATAATAGATGTATATATATATATAATAAAAATCAATAGTAATTAATATAGTCTCGAATTGGTTAATCATGCACACACCAGATCCAGCACACTACAGGCAGCAGCTGATGCATGCATGCGTAAGGGGAGTTAAATTAATTACATGATTAATTAATGTGGTCGTGCAAGTTGGTTAATTGATTACTAATATTAATTAATCGTTCTAATTCTGATTGGGGTAGCTATGGCCAGCCTCGTGATCTTGTCATT